TTTTCTAATTTTATGAATTTTTTAGATAAGAGAATTATTAGTATTTAAAAATAAAATTTAAAATTTTATGTACTAACATATTTACAGAAAAAAAGGTATGATCATTAATCATTTAGTGGTGGAGAAAATGTGCGTTGTTGTTCGTAACATCTTCACCTGTATGTGGACCCACCCTCAGAGTGCGGTGTCCACTCTCCAGTGACTTGACCATAGTTTTTTATCACACCATCGGTCACATTGATTGTCATCTAGCGAAAGGGTAATTTGGAGATTTCAAAACCGCGTGGCACCAATAATAGTTGCCTTGATCCACCCCTATTTTTAATATACCACCGTCTATTCTCAAAATTCCATAATATCCCTATTAACTCTCCAGCATAATTTGCATACTTTTCCTAGATCTATTGAAGTGAAGATGGGCGATCTTGTCTTGGGTCCTATTGTTGATGCCACCATATCCAAGGTGATTTCAGTTGCTACTGAGCAAATCAACCTTGCAGTCAGTTGGAAGGCAGAGCTCAGAAGACTTTGCAAGAAGTTGACCATGATTCATGCTGTGTTGCAAGATGCAGACAGAAGGCAAGTTGGAGAGTCAGCTGTGAAGCTTTGGCTTGAGAACCTCAGAGACGTGGCTTGTGAGGCTGAGGATGTTGTGGATGAGGTTGTTTATGAAAGACTGAAACAGGAGGCACGGATTCAAAAGCAAATGAAGAAGAAGGTCTGTCTCTTCTTTACTTTCTCCAATCCTTTCATATTTCGTCTCAAGATGGCTAATAAGATCAAGAATCTTATTGCTTCTATAGCTGAGATTAATGAGGAGGCCAGACAATTTGGACTTCAGTCCAGACATGCTATCCATGAACCTAGAAGCAACCCTCAAGTAGTATACCCCTTGCCTGGTTATCGTCTTAGAGTCATAGGAAGAGAGGATGATGTGTCAAAAATAGTTGACTTGTTGATCGATCCAAGTAATAAGGAGTCCCTTTCTGTCATATCTATTGTGGGTATGGGGGGTCTAGGAAAAACTACCTTAGCAAAATCAGTACAAAGTCATGACAAAATAGTGAGGAATTTTGGTAAAACAATGTTCATTTGTGTGTCTGAAGATTTTGATGTCAAAAGAGTCCTAAAAGAGATGATAGAGTGTCTTACTGAAGAGGGTTGTTCAATTGCAAACCAGGCTACTCTGGTGAAAAAAATGCAAGATTTGTTGAAGAATGAAAACTATCTACTCATCTTAGATGATGTGTGGAATGAGGATAAAGTGAAGTGGGAAGCCTTAAGGGATTGTTTGTTAGAAATAAATAAAAATAAGATGAGTAGAGTGGTTGTGACCACTCGGAGTGAAAAAATAGCATCTATAATGGGAACACTTAGAGAACACATGTATCATCTTCAAGAACTAGAAGATGATAAATGTTGGTCTATAATAGAGCAGAGAGCGTTCGGAAGTTCTTCAGTGCCTAGTGTTGAGTTAAAAGAAATTGGGAAGCAAATAGCTAAACAATGTAGAGGTGTGCCATTAGTTGCTAATGTCATAGGGGCTAGTTTAAGCAATCAAAGGGGTAGAAATGAGTGGTTGTCAGTTAAAAATAAATTTGACGCATGGGGTACTAGTTCATTAGGAGATGATAGTAGGGAATGGATTGATCAAGCTTTACAATTGAGTTTTGATCGCTTGCCTAACACAACATTGAAGCAATGTTTTGCCTTTTGTTCCATTTTCCCCAAGGATTGGGAAATTGAAAAGGAGATGTTAATTCAACTATGGATGGCTGAAGGCTTTCTTCAACCATCACGAGGAAGTTCAATGGAGGATATTGGTGACAAGTATTTTAGTGACTTGTTATCATATTCTTTGTTTCTAGAGGAAGAAAGAGATTCAACTGGTAAGATTAAGTCATGCAAAATGCATGATTTAATTCATGATCTTGCCACTTCCAATTCAAAATCAGAAACACTTATTTTGAAAGCTGGTTCAGAGAGCAATATTGCTCATGTTCGGCATTTGAATCTCGTTAATGCCGAGGAGATAGTGCCAGCAAATTTTGTGGAGGTGGCTGGAAAACTACATTCCTTATTTCTTCAAGGTGATATGTTGGGCAAGATGCCAGATAGCTTCAAAAGGTTACGCATTCTTAGCTTTGAAACAGGTAGCCTTTGGAGAATTGATATTGGGCAGTTGCCAACTTGGATCGGCAAGATGAAGCATTTGAGGTATCTAGACATTTCAAGCACCAACATTAAAGAACTCCCCCAGTTTATCATGGAGTTGTATAGTTTGCAGACACTGAGGTTCATGTGGTGTTCTCAGATTGTAAAACAGCCAGAAGGGGTGGAAAACTTAGTCAGCTTGAGACACATTCATTTCAATGAAGACAGCTGTATGCCACTCAGAATTGGTAGGCTAAAGGATCTTCAAACATTGCAGTTATTTGTTGTGGGTCTACAAGAGGGAAGTCGAATTGAGGAATTGGGATGCTTGAGCCAACTAGGAGGTAAATTAAGGATATGTCATCTAGAGCATGTTGAAAACTACTCAGAAGCCGAGAAAGCAAAACTTTCGGAAAAGATTGGACTTCATGAGTTGAGATTGGAGTGGACAGATAGAAATACAGATGAATGTAATCATGATGAAGATGTGTTAGCAGGACTCAAACCTCCCCCAAATTTGAGAAACTTAACTATAAAACGTTATGGAGGTGAAAAATGTCCATCATGGATGGTGCCTAGTTTTAGTGAATCATTTTCACTCAACAATTTGGTGGACTTGAAAATCTTAAAATGTAAAAAGTTGAAAAGCATGCCAATCATGATCGGGTTATCATCTCTTCAACAGCTTCGAATTAGTGATTGCCTTGAATTAACCAGAATTGGAGATGGAGTATTTGCCTTTCCGAAGTCCCTCAAACGACTAGAGATTTGGTCATGTCCAAGATTGGAAACAATTGGGGATAGTATTTCGACCCTCACATGCCTAGAAGAGTTAAATCTATCTAGTTGTGGAGATCTGAGGCTCATTCCAATCATGAGCGGGTTATCATCTCTTCAACAGCTTCGAATTCAAAATTGCCTTGAATTAACCAAAATCGGAGATGGAGCATTTGCCTTTCCGGCGTCTCTCAGACAACTATGTATTCGGTCATGTCCAAGATTGGAAACAATTGGGGAAAGTATTTCGACCCTCACATGCCTAGAAGAGTTAGATCTAGAGGGATGTGAAGATCTGAGGCTCATTCCAATCATGAGGGGGTTATCATCTCTTCAACAGCTTCGAATTCAAAATTGCCTTGAATTAACCAGAATCGGAGATGGAGCATTTGCCTTTCCGGCGTCTCTCAGACAACTATGCATTCGGTCATGTCCAAGATTGGAAACAATTGGGGAAAGTATTTCGACCCTCACATGCCTAGAAGAGTTAGATCTATCTGGATTTGAAGATCTGAGGCCCATTTCAAGTGTAAATGGGCTTTCCTCTCTAAGAAAGTTACGGATTGACGAATGCAGTTCAGTGGTGAGTCTACCAAATGGACTGTCCTCCTGCACTGCTATTAAAGAATTGATCATAAGTGACTGCCATAATCTGATCTCCATCTCAGAAGACTTGAAGGATTTGCATTCTCTGGTTGTTTTATGTATTTTCAGATGTGAAAATTTGAGGAGTATTCCGGAGGAGAGCTTCAGCTGTCTTGTCTGCTTGGAGCATTTGGGAATTGGTGGTTTCTCAAAAGAGTTGGAGGAATTCCCATATCTCCATTCCATCCACCACCTCAACGCCTCCCTTCAAGGATTAGGGTTGCATGGGTGGGAAAAACTAACGTATCTACCACCTCAAATTCAACACCTCACTTCTCTAAGGGAATTGAGCATACTTGATTTCAATCAAGTGGAAGCTTTGCCGGAGTGGTTGGGAAGCTTGTCATCTCTTCAAACTCTGAGGATTGTTCGCTGCGCAAATTTGAAATATCTGCCTTCTGCACAAGCCATGCAACGCCTCTCCAAGTTGCAGTATCTTCAAATTTTTGAATGTCCAGAGCTAAAAGGAAGATGTGCAAAGGAAACCGGCCTTGAATGGTTCAAAATTTCTCACATTCCAAACATCCAAATAGATCATGAGCGCATCCAAGGACATTGAGCCCTTTTTCTGAGGTATATTTAAATTTCTCAATCCTCAACTTCTCTTCTTCCTTATAATAAATTCCACCACTAATTTTGCTTCTTTCATCAATTCAGACTTAAAAGCAACAACAAAAGTCAAATTTATCAATTCAGAGGGTTACTTATGGCTGCTTCAATTCTCTTAACCTACGATGCTTGTGAAAATTCTTTAAAAGGTAATTTCTTATTACTCCAACTCTTTTCCATATAAGAATTCTTTTAAAAGCTTGTTTGGTTTATGGGGAGGGGATAAAATTCCCTATTTGGATAACAAAAATTGGAGGGGAGGGAATGACAGGGAGGATTTACCTTTAATTTCCTTTATAATTTTAGTATAACTTAATGAAAAAGGGAGAAGCAAGCAAGAGGGAGGGAAATGGAAGGATGTTATGGCGCCTCCATTCCCCACAAACCAAACAAGGGTAGCAATTTCTCATTATTCACAATGGATAATAAATGATTCCTATGGTTTGGAAGAATTGAAAATGGGTGGTTTTCTCGAACTATTTATGTCCGTACATGTTGAGTCTATTGGAAGTGTTTGTCCACGATTGAGTCTGTATCTTTGTATACATATATATGCATAGGTCACTGGTTTACAGGTGCCTAAGAAATCCTCATCAATCTAGTAAGTTCTTAGAACTTGTAGCATGGTCTTTGAGTTGGGTTTTATGAACTAGCTTCAAAATTTTTATCATACAACTTGTTAGTGTAAGTATCCAGTAGGAGTAGGGTCTTAAATTATTTGAAGCAATCTATTTATGGCAGTATCAGATGCAGAGTAGCTTCTAGCTTTCATAAATATATAATTAAGTATAATTTTCTCATTCCTTAAGCAATTGAAATGAATATGATTCTTGTCCCCTGCTTCTAATTTTTCATTGTAAAAGATAGTTTTTCGTAATCTGTTACTATACTAATTATTTGATTTTTCCTGTTTTACTGCAAAAACTAAACTTTGATTAATATTGGTTGACTTTACAACCTTGTGAAATGTGGTGTTCAGTTATTTGAATTAATTGTATAAGGAAATAATCAAAGTAATGATGAGGGTTTACTTGGTTTTATGTTGTTTTCTAGGGATTCCTATGCACTTAAGATGAGCAAGCTCTTGCTGGTTATTTTTATGATATTGTTTTGAACAGCAGCATCTTGAATATTAAGGATTTTGATTATAAGAGAGTTCTATGAAGGGGAAGCTTTGACACAATTGTTGGAGAACTTGTTCATTGTTGGAAGACCACATTTCTACTCAAAATCTGAAATAATTGCCGTCTACTGGAGCCATGCAATGCCAAGAGGTACTGATTGATTAGAAGTTTCTTGCATTCCAATATTCAAGTAGAACGAGTGCATCCCATTCCAAGAACATTGAGCTTCTCAGGTATATTTTCTAAACCTCAACACCTCTTCTTCCTTAAAAACTTCCCATCACTAAGCCTATCTTTACCCTATCGTTAAGCATTTGTAACTTTTATGAAATCTAACTCTTAAGCAGCATCAGTAATTAAATTTGTCAATCCATAAGGTAAACCCAGGTTGTTCCAATGTTTGCAGTGCATAAAGGATTCCTTTAGGTATCCTCTTTTGGGTTTTCTCGAAAAGATAAATTCATTTTTCATAAATGAAATAAACAAGTTACAGTGTAATAAATTTTGTTTCATTAATTCATTTGTCCTAGAACTATTTGCTGGTTATTTAGTAATGGAGTTATCATGTACCTTGGATTTGAGCATTTGAAGAACCTTAGGTACTGTTTAATTCACACCATGGAGAAGTAGCAGGGAGAAGGGA